AAACAGAAAACAAATAGAGATCTCAAAAGCAAGAAAATCATAAAAACCTTTGTTATCTCAGCTGACTATTTAGGACATAGTCAAGCCACGAGTTGTTGTGAGATATCCTTCCTCTTTCTTGTCTTTTAAGCACGCATAGCACGCTGCTACTTTCTCTCATTTGGATATCACTTGTGTCCATTCACTTGTCCCAACCCGATGCTTAAAGAAACATTATCATGGTTGAGGACACAATTAGCCTAAACATCTCTCCCATGTTATCCATCTACGACCCATGCAGCCATCTCCCAATTCCTTGGATGTCACTGGCAGACCTACTACCAGCTTGCAACCCAAAGATTGGGCATTATTGCCGACTTGCTGCCACCATCGAGTTTCCTTCTCTTTGCAGCTCTCGGTCGAGATCTCCAATCCAATAGAGATGAGTGTGAACGACCCATTTTTGTAACAACACTTGAAATTAGTGCCCCACAACTTCCACTTACATATTATACCCAAGCTTTCCCCATATGGACATGTATTGGTTGAAAAATTAACCCATGAATAATTAAACTGAACTTACTTTTCCCGTTTCTCTTCACAAGACCAACACAAGAGGTGCGAACATCATGCAACTCCTTCTTCTTCTGGGATTGACTTAAATTGAGCCCAAAAGCCACGATTCTTGAAGGCTCAAACTAATCTAAGATTTTTGCTAGTTGAGTATCTAAAGACAAAGATTCAACTACATAATGTTCATATGACATCTTATCCTTTTTAAAGTTTGCAATCCTCTTTAGAAAATCGTATTCTCGAGGATCCAAGGTCGAGAGGGAGAAATATGACCTTGCTGCCACAAAATCTATGCAATCACTCTCTCTAGTCTCCACCCATCCTTTCCTCCTGAAAGGCCCAATTTATAGTTGACCTTTCATCGAACAGCTTGCAAATACCACCATACTCACCACCCTTCACGTCTCATCCCCCAAAGCTTCCTGGGCACATAAATATGAGTTGAAACCGACGTTAATAGTCTCTCTCAGAACATCTTTCCCTTGGATAACCATGGTACTAGAACCTACTCGCTTATCATTAATGCTTGACACCCCCACTACCATTTCATGCATGACGAGGTCCTAATTCGATGAATCCAATCAAGTACCCATACGACTATAAACTCCTTCTCAAAATTTGATAGTCGTATGGATACTAAATTGGCTTCGTCGAACATGACCTCTTATATAAACTCCTCTATTTCATCCTCATTGTGCGTATGTGTTTTATCCTATGTTCTGATTTTGCATACCTATAGATGGTTTGATCTAAGTGGCAAAGATGAAGAGATTTGTTAAATGTTTAGCGTCCCTTCCCCTCGTATTTTCCTTCATCTATGTCTTGATGCAGGTTTGGCTCCTTGTCCCGTGCCTTTGGTTGGTGGGAGATAGTGATGCTTGAAGCTTTTGGTGGCATTGGTTGTTACCTAGAGTGTCATCTTGTGGCTGGAGTTTGGGGAGATTGATTCAAGTTGGTACTTCCTGAGTTGGATTATGGTCATGGTGAGTCTTTTAAATCAGTCTTCTTTTTACCTTGTTGTATGATGTGTCTAGACTATTTTTGGGGTTTGTCTCATTCGTTATCTTAATGAATTATTTAATAATTGATTCGGTTGTGGTTTGTTGTACAAACTTTGCACTTCACGCCTGCGAAACACAGTAACAATCCTCTCATTTTATTTTCTCTCCCTTTGTTCTGCCAGCAAAGTTTCCTTAGTTATTGCTTTGCAACATCGAACACTGATATTCCCTTCCAGCCTCTAAATATTTTCGCCTAACTGCATTAGTTGTCTGGTTGCATTAACTATTTTTTTCACTTAATTTTTTTCAGTCTCTGTGATTCTCGTGCCAACTCTTGGTTTGATGATAGTTTTGATTTTTTTGAAAAGTTCACCAACTGCTATTTTTTACATAAATTTTGTATAACATTTTTTTGGACATTAAATTTTGTAGAAACATTTAATGTAAAAAATAAAATTTTGTACAGAAAGATTTCATATAGAAAGTTTTTGTGCATATTTCTTTTCACCTAAAGTTTGTGTACAAAAAAAAATTCTAAATAGAGAAATTTTGTACAAAATAAAATATTTTTTTTTCTCAAAACTTCGATCTATTCCCCAGCTCTACCAACAACCACATTGTTGCCACCGAAATTTTAGATAACATTTCCTGCCACATCTACTCAGAGCAAGACAACTCAGTTGAGTTTGTCCAATTGTCCCTCCTGGGCAATGGCTGAAACTCGATCGAGTTTTTCGTTCTTAATATGGGTTAGTTCCCTCCTGGCGAGTTCTTTGTCGTAACCCATAACGCCCAACCTAATCGGATACCACTAGAAACTAAGGTTTAGGATGTTCTGGATTGGGTTATCGAATTGGTAATTATGAAATAGCAATTATGGATTCATATATAGAATGAGGGATTGGATTGAGAATTAAGGATTAGGGACTGAAGAACATAATTGGGGAAGAACAGTTCGCGGCCTTGATAGGGAAGAGAGATGAGATTTTGGAGGATTTGGGATTACATTTCTTAATAATTTCTTTAATTAATTCCCAAAAAATTTAATAATAATCCTAATACTACTCGACTACTATGAACCATATTAATAAATAGGGTAAATATAATACATTAGCCATAACTATTAAGCAGCGGGGAATTATAGCCACAACTATCAAAATACAAATTATTAGCCAACCGTTAAGTCTTCATTAACACTTATGTTAGTAATGATGACTAAGCTTTTACGATGTTGAGTCGGCTCCCACGTGGCAGTCATCATATCATATCTTTTACGATGCTGACATGGCCTTCACCATTAAAAATTTGAAAACAGTAACGGGTTGTTAGCCAAATCTTCACCCGCAACAATAGTTATGGTTAATAATTTGTATTTCGATAGTTGTTGCTATAATTCCCTGCTGCTTAATAGTTATGGCCAATATATTGTATTTACCCTAATAAATATCTTAATAGACAATATAATAACAATGTTGGAAACCACGATTTTCATCATCACGGTGGAGCACTGTAATGATGGATGACCTCTCAGAAAATCACCATGATCCACACCAAAAGCAAAACTGTGCAAGAAGGCCCAAAGTGAACAATCTCTTTGTAAGGAAAAGTGATATGATCCAAATTGGCCAATTCTACGAGCCGCAATTACTTGCCAAAGAAGCCATCAAGGTTGGAAAGAAAAGAGGCAGAATTTGGCCAAGTATTGGAGCAGTTTCGAGATGCCTACTTTGGAGGCTTGGTTCTCACAATTGTTTCGATGAAAAGTCAAGATTAAGGGTTTTTTTTTATTGAAGATGGAGTGTTTATCTACATGTTGGAGGCATTGGTGGATCCATAACAAGTCATTAAGGTCATTTTCCAAAGCCTTAAAGTAGCCCTCTCAAAACAGGAAAACTGTCTGAAAAGGGATGTCTAGAAACTTGACTCTGAAGCATACTTTGGAGCTCCATTTGAGAAGCGTGGATGAGAGTCGAGTCCATATCATATTTTTTACGATGCTGACATGGCCTTCTCCATTCAAAATTTGAAAACAGTAACGGGTTGTTAGCCAAATCTTCACCCGCAACCATAGATATGGTTAATAATTTGTATTTCGATAGTTGTGGCTATAATTCCCCGCTGCTTAATAGTTATGGCTAATATATTGTATTTACCCTAATAAATATCTTAATAGACAATATAATTACAATGTTGGAAACCACGATTTTCATCATTACGGTGGAGCAGTGTAATGATGGATGACCTCACAGAAAATCACCATGATCCACACCAAAAGCAAAACTGTGCAAGAAGGCCCAAAGTGAACAGTATCTTTGTCAGGAAAAGTGATATGCTCCAAATTGGCCAATTCTACGAGTCGCAATTACTTTCCAAAGAAGCCATCAAGGTTGGAAAGAAAAGAGGCAGAATTTGGCCAAGTGTTGGAGCAGTTTCGAGAAGCCTACTTTGGAGGCTTGGTTCTCACAATTGGCTCGATGAAAAGTCAAGATTAAGGATTTTTTTTATTGAAGATGGAGTGTTTATCTACATGTTGGAGGCATTGGTGATCCAGAACAAGTCATTAAGGTCATTTTCCAAAGCCTTAAAGTAGCCCTCTCAAAACAGGAAAACTGCCTGAAAATGGATGTCTAGAAACTTGACTCTGAACTCAATTTGAGAAGTGTTGATGAGATTCGAGTCTAGAGGCTTCTACCACATGAAAGTAAGTATGTTTGTCTACAAAGTCAAGGCATTGGATGAAGAAATGGATATCTGGAAGGCCACGAATGAAGGACTCAAATATCGTCCAAAGTCACAAAGTTCTGCTTTGTAAAAAATAGAATTTGTTTTCCTTGTTCAATTAGGATTAGTTTCTTTTGCTACTTTTTAGTTCCTTTCCGTATTAGATTGTAACTAGGACTTATGTGGCCGAGAGTTAACCTAGCTATGGCCTATTTAAGCTTTCTATTTCGTTGTGATCGTTACTTTGATGAATTGAAACCCTTTAGGTTTTTGCAAGTTGTGTACTTGTGTTGAGTTTAGTGGATTCCAAACTTGTTGAGCTCTTGTATCGATCAAGAACATGTTGATCGTGGTCGGGCATCATCCTTACATCAATCAGGCCTTTCTCCAAGTGTGGAATTGCACATTTGGTTCCGTTTGATCTCTAACACCCAAGAACAATATGTTTTTGGTTCAAGTTTCATACAATCAATTCAGGCCTTGAATTATTCGATTAAGCTGCGTACTCATAAACATACAACTCCCCAGGGGTCGTATTAAAAAGGGTTGTGTTGTTACAAAGGGTAACACAGTCTCTCCGTGTCTCTCTTATATGCTAGTGGGGCTAATCCCAACTATGAAGTTGAGTTACATAGGGGGTATAAACTATAATGCAACACCATAGACTAATTCCATATTGACAAAGTACGAGAGCATCCATGGTTTATTAGGTATAATTCTAACTGAACTTACAATATGCATTTTCGGGTGAAACAGATGAGTTACTATAAGCACTGTGAAATTAATGAGCTCATGGTGGAGCAGTGCTGAGATGGGTGACCTCTCAAGGAGTCACCATGATGTTCCTAAAACTAAATCATGCGAGAATAGACAAAAAAAATTACAATAACTTGGTTAAGAAAATGACTGGGATGCTAAAAAAATAAGAAGAGAAAAGTATTAAACGCTATTGATACTGAATTAGACAATTAGTACATGTATATACTGAACAACATTTGTTTTGCTTGCTTCTTCTTATACTTACAGTACATGGTCAGTCCATCACGTTCAAACCTCCAAAAATCACGCACAATAAAACACAAAATTAAAAGATAAAAGGAAAACAACAAAAAAACCATTCATAATTCTTTCTTAACAAATGGCGTCAAACCTATGTTCCTCATCACATTTTATACTTATATACCTCATCTTTCACAAATGTGCAATTTCCCTTCCCCCCTCAAACCTTTTCTCATTGTCACTTATGACTTCTTCCTCGTCATGGAGGTTGGGTTCCCATCAAACAAACCTTCAATCAAGTTTTCAATATCCTCTGGCTGATACTTTATATACTTTTCCGTTTGTCTCCCATGCGTCAAACATTGTTGAAACCTCCCTAGAAACGACCTGTATGCTGGAATAACCACCGCTGACACTGACACCCGTAGCTCAGACTGCATTTGTTCGTCGCTCACCACCCATGTACTTTGGGTTTTGTGTATCTCCTCGATTGCATTATTAAACATTTTGAACCTCTCCTTGACCACTGCCTTCGCCATTTTCCCATTTACTTGAATCCCATCATGCTTCAAACATTGCAAAACTCTACCCCAAGTCTCTCTAGTATACCCTTTATGGTACTTTCTGAGATCAGACGACCGTCTTCGGCACCACGTCACTCCCATCATGTCGTGAATCTCTGTCGAACTCTTGATCTTTTGCAAGATGTACCTATGTTTGAAAATAAGGGGCGAAATATAAACCAAGTTCTTGATCGTTTATGAGAAACACATATATACTAAGCAAACTAATGATCCTCATTACCATATGCACCAATAGTTTTATATTATTTGTAATTTATCAATACCTGCCGTTATTCATGAGAAAAATGTTCCTCAATGCGGGATCTTTGTATAAATTTGATTTCATCTCTAGATTTTCATCAAGAAGATCCATCACCGTGTTTAATTGAACCGAAAATGGTGATGTTTTTGGTGTCCCGTCTTCATTCGCTCCTCCGGCAGACCCCGACCTAGATTTGGATCTAGAGTCGTCCGATTTGGAAGATGATGATTCCCAATTCTCTCCGTCAGTTTTCTGCTTCTGTAAAAATACCTGCTCGAGGGTGTCTTTATACTCACATGCATACTTAAGGTAATTCATGGTGTATCGTGTCAAAGGGTGGACGGCGCCGCTTGGAACCGGAGTCCTACTAACGTCACGCCTTATCGAGTTTTCAAGATCACAAAACATAGAGACGGCTGCTTGTCCTAACCGAATGATCGTCTCGTAGATCTCTGATTTTATGGTGGAGGAGAGATTCTCGATCTCTGGTCCAAGATCGCGGAGAGTTTCGTACAAGTCGAGGAACTTGAAGAGCTTCTCTGCGGAGCATTTAGTGAGGGTGATCGCATTGGCAAACTTGAAGAATCGATCAATTATATTGGAAGCTAAGTCCCCAAAGATCTCCGTGTAGATGGAAGGGTGGTTTTGGAAGACGGCGTTGCAAAGATTTCGCTCTGCGGAGAAGAGCACTGAGGAGCAGCGACGAATAACGTCGATTGCACCAGCAATTTCCCCCTCCAAGGTTTCCCAATCCATCTTGTTGATTTCATCAGGGCTGAGGTTGACATGGCCGTATTTTTCCAATTTGTTGTTGAGAGCTGTCCGTCGAACAGATCCGTAGACCAAACAACATTCTGATTGGTAGCCGGAGGAGATCATTGCAGCGGCAATTTTGCTCATATTATAGATCTCCTCGGGTTGGTACCCTGGGAAATCGTCCTCGTTGTTGGAGTTTTCCGAATCAGAGATTTGATTGTTCGATTCGTGGTTGTTGCGTGAAAAGGATGATTGTTTGGCTGATATGGGAGGAGGAGGACCGGTGCTTCCGCCACAGGAGTCGGGACCGGCGTTAGCGGAGACGCCAGAGGAGGAGCGCTTGAAGGAGTTGAGAACGGTGCGGAACTCGCTATCAAGGAAGGACATTGCAAGGTGTTGGATGGTGCTAGCCCGATTGAAGGTGGATGCCAGGTCAGATTCAGCGGTAGAGAAGTCGCCAAGGATTTTGATTAATTTCGATAGGCGGTTGAGATGAGCAACGAGGGAGTTGTCTTCTTTCTCGTCATGGCCGAATTTAGAGCTGGATGTGTCATAATTGCTGATGGTGGACTCGACACATTTAAAGAGCGATTCGACAGCATTGGGGACTGGTGGGGGATCAGACTTGGTGTCATGAGATTGTGAGAGGAGATCGAGGAATTTGTCGACCTCGTCTAGCGATTCTGAAGAAGGCGAAAAGGAATGGTCGGTGGTCGCTGCGGAGTCGAATGTAGTGGTAGGCGAATCATGACCAGAGAGAGTGGGGATGTCACCATTGCATGTTCTAGAGAAGCTCCCAAAATTTTCAGGGAGGCGTTGCTCCATTAGTGAGGGAAAAGGAAAAAATTGGGGGAGCTACTATGTTTGGCTAAAACGGAGGGAAATCAGAGGATGAACAAGAAGAAGGGGTCATCTACTTTTCTTTACCTTTTTTTTTGTTTTGTTTTTGGCCCCCTCCTCTCTATTGTGATTTGCTTCTTTTTTCTTTTGTTTCGTTTGTGGATGATAAGGCTAAATTTTAACCGGAGGAAAAGTTTGTGAGACGGAAGGAAGAAATGAAGGAATGTATTTGGCCGTGAATTTCTCTGGTGGTTGTGTGAGGGAATTGACTATTGACCGATGAGCTGGAAAGGGGGGATTTCTTTTTATTTATAAATAATAGACATATATAATTCCTAGTTGCCTCATCTTTTTCCTATTTGAGGGATTTTCTTTCGCCTCAAGACAAATCGAAATCAATGGTATCAGTTGGGCTTCTCGTGAGGTAAAATTCCGATCCATAATGAGGCTTAATTGCGGAACTGCAATGTGCCTTTGTATTTTAGATTTTAGACGAGACTCTTTTGGGCTATCTTATAATGGGTACAACCGTAAAAATGTGTTTTACATGTTCTTAACTCACCATTACTACTCTATAAAAAAACCCCAGTAATACTTATGCACACTTAATTACTAGTTATTGTCTCACATTTATGAAGATGAAAATAATATATAGAAAATTTCATTAGGACACCATAACTATAAAAAGTGTTACTTCTATACTAAAGTATACAATATGACAATCGTAGTAATATTTTCTAAGAGATAACATGAGAAAAGTTAGAAAACACACTATACCCTCAACCCAGGAACCCCTCCTGAACAAAACCATTACAGTAGCCAGCTTACAAAATCAAAAGAAACTATCTCTAAAGAAGAAAGTGACAGGACTTTAGGTGCCATTCTATGGAAAATCCAGTGTGACGATCCTAGTATGGCGTATGAGATTTTTGTGACATCTGTATCTTGCTGCTTTCATTGACCGTAAGAGATAACGGTTAACCTAAAGATTGTGAAAATAATGTTGACTTTCTGTGACATGACAAAAATGTATCATCCACGTAGATGTAATGACAGTAAATGAAAAATAAAAAATTATATTATAATTTTTTAACAAATTTAAAATACTAAATAAAATTAATAAACAAAAAAAAAAAAAAATCCAGAATCTCTCTCCTGAACTCCTCGAGGACTAGTTCGGCCATGCTTCCAAATTTGTTGTCGATTTTTCCTCGAGACACCCAGTCCATCTTCGATGCTCGTTATCAGTGGCTCTTTGTCGCAGGAGTATGATAGTGCAAGAGTTCCGATTTTTGGGTTTCCTATCGTGGTTCGACAATCTCGCGGTGAAGAGTTCCTGCATGCGGAGCCCATCGTCAATAATGATAATCTCTTGACTAGGTTATAATGACGTGTGGGTTAAACCCCCAAACCCTTTTCTTTTGTCTTCGATATTTCAATACTGAGAAGCAACAGAAGAAAAGAACAAACAATAGGAAGGAGAGACAAAATTGTTAATATAACCAACTAAAAAGGTCAAATAAGGTATTAGAGGAAATAATTAACTTAATTAATAATAAAATCAATGACAAATATTTTGAAATCAAACCCATCCACTCCCCTCATCGTGAAAATCACCCAACCCCTTCCGAGTGCTCTACTTCTTCCCAACACATTATACTCCATTTGAGATTCAATCTAGACATAACGAGCTCTCCATCTCCAGTAACTATGATGCAGTTGTCCCCTTCTTCGAGCGCAGGCGACCACGACTGTCATGCACTGTCTTTCGACGACTACACAAAAATAATCAGTCGTACTGCACTGCAAAAGTCGACGAGTTGGCGTCAACTTGCACTTCATGTGGCTGAGGCTTTCTGCATCATCGCTTTACATGAGTGTTCTGTTTCACATGGATGCTTCCCCGCTATTGTGATGGGTATGAATAACATGTTTGCTTTCATATATGTTGTTGCTAATGTTCCATGTTTTTCATTGAAAATTGACGAGATATCGTTCATAATGCACTACAAAAAAGACAGGCAGAAGTGACGAAATCCTTCTGACGACACTATTTTTTTGTTGGAAATAAACTTTTTGTGACGACACTATTTTTTTGTTGGAAATAAACTTTTTGTGACAAAAATTTGTTGTCCTCATAAAAACGTAAAATATTTGTGAGGAACATCAATACTCGTCAATAATGTCTAAAACATTCGTCACTAAAAGTCAATTTCGCCAATACGAGGAACATCATCTCACTTTTACTGTGGACATTTTAACTTTTGTCAAAAATACAAATTATTTATGACCAAATTGTAATAGGCGTTAGAAATAATATGTTTTTCTGACGCCGAAAAGGAAGGGGAAATTATTGAATTTTATATTTTGAGGACACAAATTTTTCCTCAGAAAATATTGTTGGAAAAAGTATTATTTGTTAGGAATTTCCCTATCTCTCAGAAAATAAACCTTTTTATGAGGGAACATATTTTATCGTCGATATAAGTTTGTTAGAAAAGTGACTGGACAAAAAGCCATCACAAATGATTATTTCGTTGAAATAACTTCGTGATAAAAACACATTCTGTGAAGAATTTATATGTCGCCAATAATATGCAAACATTGTCGTCACATATAGAACATTATTGACAAATTTCGCTTGTCAGAAAAGTTTCGTTACATATGCACAATTTCTTAGTTTTAAGAGTTGAAATTAAAGGTCATGAATGTACTCTAACCATGAATCTCTTGTTCGCAAAAACAAAGTCCAGACCAGTTAGATTGATTATATTTCTTCTCTGCAATAAAAGAAGGAAGTCGAGCAGATTCAATTCCTTTCTTCCTATGCAATAAACGAATGAACTCCATCAGATTCATTCCTTTTTTTCTCTGCAATAAACGAAGGAAGTCCAAAGAAATTGATAAAGGGAAACAAAGAAAGGGGAAGAATCAAAACAATCCTTGTTCACAAACCAAGTCCAAAGATGATGGCTTTGTCTTATAATTTTAGGCATCATCTGTAAAGCAATAAAAATAATTGGCCTACATCAATTTACATGAAAGTTCATCATTTTAATTGGTTAGTACGTTAGTTTTGGTCAAGAAGGAATGGGTTCGATTCTCCAAATTGCTTCCAATTACTTAATTAATTTTTTAAACTAAACTCGGAACTCTAAACCCTAAAACCTAAATCATGAACCCTATAAAAATCATGATTGACTTGATTATATCCAGTGGTGGAGGCAGTTTGGTAGAGGGTGGGTCTCGGGACCCACCTCGTTTCGAGCTAGAACACAAACTTATTAATTAATATTTGTACTTAATTCATAATACGTAAATCCAACGCGTCATGTTCACCATTTTTACTTGTGTGACAACATATTGTAGAGAACTTTGTGACACACATATATCAAATAATTCTAATTGTTTAATATGATTTTACGAATTCATAATTTAATGTTGAGTTCTCTATTCTCAAACGAGGGAATTAGTCAATAATTTAAGAAACATATCGTAGATTATTTAAATATTAATAAAATTATTTTCAAATATTTCTATTTGTACATCGTACCCATTTCAAGTGAGATTCGTGTCGGCCCACTTATCACATCTCAGTGGCCTGATTTGTGGCTTGTTGTTTACTTAGTTTAAGTTTAGTACTTGTTTATTTGTTTTTGCCTAATTTATAGATTTATTTGTTTTATTTAATTAGAACTAAAGGGGTGGGTATTTTATTAATTCCTTGAAAATCGAAGGACAAATTATAGGGTATATAAACAACTTTAACAACAAACCCTAGGTAGCAGATGACACTGATGATGAGGCAGAAGGACACAGAATTGAACTGTCACCGCCCACCGTCATCGCTCAGTCATGGAGATCCAAATCACAACTATCGTCCTCTAAAATCTGACTAAGGTAAGTGTTTTGGAGGCTTTCGATTGAGTTGATTCTCTCAATGGGGATTTTTTCTGATATTGAGAGCGTGAAGAGAGCGTCATTATTATATTATATTTTTTTTATTTATTTTAACATTATAAAAAATGATATACTGTAAAATTATTAAAATAAATTTATTTAATCATTAATAGGTTTTTCATTTACTTGAATAATACCCTCTAGGGCTTAATTGCGATAGAGTGATAAATATAATGAATTGGAATAACATTTTTTAGTATAAATTTATATTAATTTGTAATATCAATTTCATTTATATTTCTTTAAGTAGCAATTTGTTGACAATTAGAAAATAAAGATCAGCAAATAATAATAACAAAAACGATAACGTTAAATTGTTGGAGGGAGCCCAAAGATCATTTTGTTAATTAATAGGGCAGACTTAAAATATAGAACATCGAAGTTCCGCCTAAACTCAAATTCTTCATTTGGCAATGCCTCAAAGTCATACTTCCCACAGTAGTGGCCCTTCAATCTCGAGGAGTAGACTGCCATAATAGGTGTCCTGTGTGCTGGAGACATCGGGAGAGTATTGAACATTTATTCTTCAGATGCCCCCCCAGCCATCAGATTGTGGACTTTAGTGGGGTTGAGCAACTTTATTGAGACCGCCCAGACTGTTAACTTTAGTCTATGGTGGCGACATGTCATGGTCTCCGAGACCGCCCCATTCCACATTCTCCAATGCGTCTGTTTACTTTCGAGAATCTGGAAGTCTAGAAATGAATTGACCTTTGAATTTACCCAACCCCATGTCCGTTCCCTATCCAGACAGTTCTACAACCAGGTCCTCGAAATCTCCAGTCTTCTCCCAATGCTATTTCCTTTGTAGCCTCAAGATCCTTGACCCACGTGATAGTCGAAGGTGATTCCGAAGTGGTTGTCAACCAAGTCCGTCAAGGCGTTTCAGAAGACTCGATTGATGGTCCGGTGTTACGAGAGTGTCTTCAGATCCTTAGCTCTTTGTCTATTTGTATAGAGTTTAGGGCGGTACCTAGAACCGCCAACAGTGCTGCCTATAGAGTGGAGCGTAAAGCACTGCTTTTGTCTCTTGTAGAGCTAGAATCTTTTGATTTCTTGGGGGTGGCTTCTTTAGAATCTTTTAGGGGTCCTGGGTAGAATTGCAAGCTTAACTATTTTTTCTCATTGATATTACTCAGAAATATAAAAAAAAGACTAAAAATATAATTTAATATTTTGGGAGGGGGATCTCGAAGCTTCCCCAT